ACAAAGTATGTGCTTTTGGAATCAATTTATCCTCCGCTTGCATCTCGCGCAATACTCGTATCAAAATAATATTTACAGAACTACCTGGATTGATCAAAACTCGTTTCACGTTAGTGTCATGTACAAGTAAAGATATTACCAGTGCGTCGTTATGCGGAGTTAAGAGACCCTCTGCGTCTGCGTCGTTGAATGTAATATTCTCTTCTTCCAGTACATGTCGCAACCGCTTCCCGTGAGTGATTGTTATTTTGGAAGTCTTATTAGCTACGGTATATGAGACACCATTGATATCTTCACCCCCACTTATAACATTGACGGTTCTTTTAGGCGAGGGTGGTTTCGGAGGCTCCTGTCTGTTCTTCATATATGCTTGTTTACCTTTTTCAGTGAATAACTCAATGAGATACCCCTGTTTTAGCAAGTGATCAACTTCACCTTGCAAAAATCTGCAATCTGCTGTTTTATGCCCGTGTGGGAAATTCACACCAATGATCAGGGTTTCGTCTGTTTGGATTTGATCTCATCTCCTTTGGCCATCGTACCTTATCTCCCATGCTTCTTAAAACAGCTACGAGTTCAGAAGTGCTTACATTAAAACTGTAACCCCCGAACCTTGCTTTTAGACTTCCATCATCGTCTCGTGACCCACGTGTATTCCGATCGTTTTCAAAACTTGATGAGGAGCCTGATTCCCTGTTTCTAGGTTTGTGATCGTACCTTTGATTATCTTGCCTTGACCGTGAGTCCTTTCCCGCAGGTCCCATGTAAGGCTCGTACCTGTTTTTACCGGATCTCTTTTCATTTTCCACACGCCTTGAGCTTACTTTTTCTTCTGTTTTATGTCGTAAAATAATGTCTTCTTCAATCCGCATCTTTGTACTGTATCTGTTGTAGACATCATTCCATGTTGTTGCTGGGAATTCTCGAAGGCTTTCCTTGAGTCGCCTTGTGGCTTCTGAACTCTTCTCATTCAAATTGCTGGCGAAGGCTATGGCTGCCCAATTGTCAGGTACTCGTGGCAATGTCATTCTTTCCCGTTGAAATCTATCCACGAATTCTCTAAGAAGCTCTGAATCTCCTTGCTTGATTTAGAAGATGTCCTCCATTCTTTTTTCAACTTTTTGAGCTCCCGAGTGTGCTTTGATAAATAAATCTGCAAGCTCAGCAAAAGAATTTATAGATTTTTCAGGTAAGAGAGAATACCATGTTAGTGCCTCTTTAGTGAGTGTTTCACCGAATTTTTTGACCAAGACCGATTCAATCTCCTGCTTAGTCAAATCATTGCCCTTGACTCATGTTGTAAATGCAGTAACATGATCTCTTGGGTCTGTTGTCCCATCATACTTTGGAATATCGGGCATCTTGAACTTCTTTGGAATTGGGAAAGGGGCGGCACATGGCTTCCATGGCTGTTGAGAATATTTATCTATATCTACCCCCTTGATCACGGGTGGTACTCCGGGTATTTGTTCTATGCGGTCGTTTTGCTCCTTAAGTTGTTTCTGCAATGTTAGTACTAGATTTTGCAAATCAAAATTAATTGGATTACCTGGGTCTCCCTCCTGTGTTTCACTGGGGGTTCACCGCTGCCTGAATTAACCAGTCCAGAACGAGGGTTCTCCAAAGTATTGTTATTTGGAGTAGCTGTGGGTGGAGCAGCAGGTAATTGACTAACAAAAGCTTGTAAAGCTTTATTGACCTGAGTAGCGATAAGTTTTTGTAAAGCATCATCCATAGCTTCAGCATTTTCAAATTGACCTCGTTCATCTGTGTGAGATCCTTCAGGAGTGCCTTCACGAGATTGTCGTGGTGAGTCTCGTGGTGTTTGATCCTGAATAGCATCATTTTGCGGATCTCCCTGATTTTGTTGATTGAGTGGGTTTCCTTGGATGTTGTCATTGTTGTTCGACATAGTTGATTCCACAAAGAAAATCAAGCTGAGATATAATTGATTATCAGATTCCCGGTAACGGAACCAATTTGTTTAACCAAAAATTAGATTTTAAGTCAAAGCTTGAATTTAGAAGAACACGGGTTACTAATAATCGGAAAAGAGTATAAAGAAAGAAATTTGAGAATAAGATATGAAAGCTAGTAAATCAGGGTATATTTCAATAGTGTTTTTTTTTCGTCCTTACAATTGTTTGTGATTATCCCTTTTATAGCCATTTTGGGAATACAGACTTTACCTTTGTCATAATAAGATAATTATGGGCAATTAATGACTTTAAATGTTACGTTATGTAATCATATACATTAAATACATATTCTCTAACGTTTCTCGCATTTAATATTCATTAAATGCTGTATCTGAGCTCTTATTTGCTGTCAGATTCACTCCTTTGATTATTCACGATATTTGCGATTTAAATGCCTTGAACGGGTACGAGCATTGAATGTCTCGCATGACTGCTCGTGTCTCTTCTGTTTAACTTGCTCGTGTCTGTTGCTGCTCGTACCTATTGAACAACCTTAATTTTTTGACTGTTTGACCAGTCTACGTGTCATGACACGTCATCTCCAATATGCAAAGTAAATTTTTCCCAATACAGTTACTTTTGATACATGGTTGTGATTCTTTTAGCAAATTAAAAACAGGTGCGTAATAGGTTATATGTGAGTGTAATTTTACCTATTTTGTTTTTAAGGTGATGTATTGATATGTTTTTAGCAGATTCTGATAATTTCTATTTTTGACGTTCACTTCTTCCTATTTTGTCTCTAACCGGAATGACATATGTTGAATTGAGAAAGCAAATTTATCCCGGTACTAGAGTTTCTGATATCAATATTTTCTATTTCAATGGAAGGAATTAGTATACGATAAATTTTCAATTGTCCAAAGTAGTATGTCAATGAAACTGAAGCTTGAAAATTTCGTCCTCTTGTGAATTCTTTCCCCTTTTTGATGATGTTGTGTGTTAAATTTATTGGATAAGCTTTTTAGGAAATGAACAATTCCTTTTAGATTTTATGAAATTTTAGCATAACTTTGATGATTTTTGAGAAAGGAAAGGTATAGATTTAGAGCGAAAGCATTAAAATATAACTTTTGAAAGCTGGTGAAGAAAAGTTAGATAGTTTTTAATATATTAAACGAACAAAGAAAAAGGTATGATTAAAATTTATATGCATATTTAAAGAGATCAATTTTTTTGAAGTTCATCTCTCTTTCATATTTCTTAAAAAATATAAATACCGTTTCACCTTTATGGGTTATTATATAAAATCATTCTCTGACAGACAAAAAGTACACAAGTGATGAGAAGTTAAAGAAAGATAAAACTAAATACATAATAAAATCTAATCTATTTGGATTATAAAATAACTAAATATCTTTAATATTAAAGCATTAAAAAAATTACTTCATAAATCGATAAGGTCTTTTACAACCGCGCGAAGCGCGGATCAATTCACTAGTTGCATATATTCCTAGATCTTGGAATATCTTAGCACATAATTTAGCCAAGTTTTCTATCTCGCTATTACATAGAATTAATTGGGTTTCTACTTTTCCTAGTTGAATTGTAAACGATGTTGTTGCATCCTTTGACTCTTTAAAAGCTATTATTATCTAATACAGGGGCGGCTGAAGGGCCAAGCAAATAATGTATTTGCTTTAGGCCCCCAAGCTCTTGGGGCCCCAAAAAATTAGTACTCCAGTAATTATTTTTTTAACTTAATCTTTTAATAGAAAATATTGAATTTCGTAGTGAAAAAGAGTACAAAACCTTTATAAGAAGGAAAAAAGTGGCCATAAAGGACAAGTTCTAAAAGGAGAATATACGAATATATTACATTTCGTTTCATTTTTAAGGTCATAATTTCCTAATTTCTCTTTGTAATGATACTTTTTATTTTCTTTACATATATGCGCTACATATTTGTCAAACAGAAAAATTAAAGCACGTTGAATAACCTGACTGCACTTATATTTCAGTGCAATTATATTTCATTCTTTTGAAAGTTTTCAAGCATATCAAAGTAAACAAAGTAAAATTAACTTATTTTGTTATCAATTATCAACTTCTAGAATCAGATTTTATTATTATTATTATAACTCTTTATTGTCTTTTTAATGTGATATTTTTTTTATTTTCTATATGTCTATTTCAAAAGTATATATACTCTTTTATTATATACTAAAGTAGAATTTAAATAAGTGAACAAGAAAAATTGAATCACTCGCACCTCAAAACTTAAAATAAAAAAAAAAAGAAAGAAAGAAAGAAGCAGAATTGAAACTTTGATATACAAACGTATTATTGGTAAATTTTTAACAAACAATAAAATACTAAATTTTAAAATATAGATTGTGTTTGTAAAATGAACATGTCCTTATTATTTGAGTTAAATGATAATGAATCCAAAAAGGAGAAAAAGAAAAAACATATAAAAGGATCAACCTTTCTATCAATTAATAAATTATTCTTAGAATTTTTTTTGATTATATTTCAAATTTTGACGCAAAAGAAAAATATATATGAAATCTCATTAGAAAAAAATTTAAAGACTCATAAATAATTTTGGTTTTAGGTCACTATTGTGATTGAGCGGCCCCTTATCTAATATAGCAAAGTTGTTAGAAAAAAAAATCAAATAAGACAAAAATCATAAATTCAGGGACTGGAAAGCACTATATGTTTTTTTCCCAATATGGTTTCACGTGAATTAATAGGTTTACTTGCCCCCCCCCCCCCACCCCCACCCCACCAATCCCACTCCACAACAACCCACAACATTCCAAAATAACGAAAAAAGAAATAAAAATCAAAATATTTGGAAGGGAGTGGTGGAGTTTGAACGAGACAAGGAAACTACAGCTGTTTTTTGTACGAGAGATGCGTTGTCACGACGCTTATTACCACACGAAATATCCCTTGGTCCTCATATGTCACACTATTTTCGGGGCAAAAACGAGAGGTCACAAATTTCACAAGGTACACGTGTCAATTTCTGATTAGACGCGGTTCCTTAGCCCAAGTCCTCAACTACGTATATAAATAGGGTACTCACATCTCCATAACATTATGTGCTTCGCCGAGTCTCAACAAAACAAATCCTAAACAGACCCAAATTCTCTCTTCCCATCTCTTATTTTGCTCCTTAATATTCTTTAATTCACAAATTCCAACAATCTTTTCTTCTGTTAAAGAACAGTGAAGGAGGTCGCACTGCGATTCTACATCTGCTTATTTCACCAATTTTTGTAAGTTTTATTTCCGTTACTTTACATCTATCTGTTTTCCTTTATGATTTTGCTCTTTCTCGCTGTTGATTTTGATAATGCTTGGCGTTGTTGTGATTAAAGTTCTAATTTTTCCCCTTATTTTGCTGCCTTGTTTGTACAATTTTCATAAGTTTTTTATGGGCTGATCGACCACATCAGATGGCCCTTTAACAGATTGGTTTTTCTTTTGATGTTAGGAGAGCCCTTTTAGTACTGTTTAGGTTTGTCTTTGAAAAATTAGTCTTTTGAGGAAAACATATCAAAGCTCTAAAACATTGTTAGACTTTAATTTCTTATTAGTGAAATTGCATGGAAGAAATTGACTGAATAAAACCGGTTATACCTTTAGATGCTGGTTAAAACTATTTAACTTTTTTTTTTTTTGGAGAAATAAAAACCTTTTTTGTTAGTTATGGATTTATTCTATGTAAGGGTGGTAATTTAGTGTATTTCGATGTTCAATGACAAATTGGAATTGTTGTTTGGAGAATATTTCGTATATTCAATTTAAACATCAAGTAAATTTAGACTATCATGATCTGTTTTCTGCTTGAAATTACATGTCTTCAATTGCCTACAGTTATCTGTCTTTTTATTTGTTCTTGAACTTCTGATTTTCTGAAGGAAATAATTGGCTAATCATAAGATGAAGATAAAAGATATATATGAAAAATAAGGAAGTAGTTATGGAACCGATTACAATCATATGAACAAATTAACTAATTTTAAAAGACTTGCAACTAGTGAAGTAGATGAAGCACTACTATACAGTAACAACCATTTAGTGGTTTGAACCAAAGGTTATAAAAGGATATACCCTTTACAATTATCAAAGCCAAAGTTCTTATTGTTTTCATTCATAGTTGCTGATCGATTAGCTAACTAGACATATTTGTCCATAACATTATTAAGGCCAAACTGTCTTGCGAGTATTTTTTTCTGACCATCTTATTTCTTTTCAATGCTGTGAGCAGGTAGGAATCGATGAACTAATGGACTCTAAAGGTGGGAAGAAGAAGTCTAGTAGTAGTTCCTTATGTTACGAAGCTCCCCTTGGTTACACTATTGAAGACGTTCGACCCAACGGAGGAATCAAGAAATTCAGATCCGCTGCTTACTCCAACGTGAGTCAACTTAGCCTTCTCCTTTATGTGTCTAAGTTGTTTATATCTTTGTGTATACATGCTAACTGTTTGCTTATCTGTCTTTTTTGTATGCAGTGCACTCGCAAGCCATCCTGAGATTACCCGTGATCTAGAATAAACCACCAAAGGTGGTTCAAGTAGATAGTAGTTTAATTTTAGAGTTCTGTTCTTCTCAACTCTTTTTCTTCATACCTCATCCTCAGTGATAATCTCTTCCAAAAAGTAGTCCTTCCCAAGCACTCTCTTTCAAGCAAGATGGCCATCCCAGTTTCTGCCATCGGATTTGAAGGATACGAAAAGCGACTTGAGATTACCTTTTTCGAGTTAGGAATGTCTGATGGCCCAGGATGTGGCCTACGGTCTCTCTCCAAAGACCAATTGGATGAAATTCTGACACCAGCTGCGTGCACCATAGTGTCTTCATTGGCAAATGATGAAGTCGACTCTTATGTCCTTTCAGAGTCTAGCCTCTTTGTCTACTCATACAAGATCATCATCAAAACTTGTGGCACTACAAAACTGCTGCTGTCGATCCCACCCATTCTTAAGTTAGCTGATGCACTTAACCTGAAAGTGAAGTCAGTGAGGTACACTCGTGGTAGTTTCATCTTCCCTGGGGCTCAGCCATATCCACATCGTCACTTCTCCGAAGAAGTAGCTGTGCTCGACAGCTATTTCGGTAAGCTTGGTGCAGGCAGCAGTGCATATGTGATGGGTAATGCTGATAAACAGCAGAACTGGCATGTCTATTCTGCTTCAGCTGAATCTGCCAATGCCAATAACCCGAATCCAGTTTATACACTGGAGATGTGCATGACTAATCTCGACAAGAAGAAGGCATCCGTATTTTTCAAGACTCAATCAAGCACTGCTGCTGAGATGACTGAAGTTTCAGGCATTCGGAAAATTCTTCCAGAATCAAACATTTGCGACTTTGACTTTGACCCTTGCGGTTACTCAATGAACGCTATCGAGGGGCCAGCAATCTCTACAATTCACGTCACACCTGAGGATGGATTCAGCTATGCAAGTTTTGAAGCAGTGGGTTATGATTTCAAAGCCGTAAACTTGACTGCCATGATCGAGAGGGTGTTGTCCTGCTTCGGACCTGCTGAGTTTTCTGTATCACTACACTGTGACACTCCTGGGAAGGAACTTTATACTGAGTCCGGCCTGGGCATTATCGGATACGCCTCTGGAGAAAAGACTACTGAAGTGCTTGGTGAGGGAGGATCACTTACGTACCTCACATTCAGTAGCAATGGTAGCTGTGGATCTCCCAGGTCAATCTTCCATTGCAGTTGGAGCGAGAGCGAGGATGAGGAAATGGAGAAGATATATTAATGAGAAATTTGTTTATTCTCCGTTTTAGTATGCAATACTATAGCTGGTATAGATCCAGCCATGCTTTTCTTATTGGTTTATGAGTCTAGTAGTATTATAAGGTTTTGCTGTTTATATTCAGTAATATAGTATGTCTGGGCATCAAATAAACAGTCTGCGTTGAGTCTATGCAGATCGCCAGCTTTATGACGTTTGGTATAAATATTCAGTCTTCTGTTGTGTAATAAAACTCCGTTTGAGACTAATAACATAGTGTTGTCATTGTGGATATGTTTGTATTATATGTTTCTGTTTTATGTGGAAATAGTTGTGTTCTATGTCCTACTAAAGTCTTGCTCATCAACTAAAATCGGATCTTCCCGTTTTTGATAATTAAATTTTTCTTAATCTAAAGCACTTACTATAAGTGTATCAATATTTCGAAGCACTTCCTTCTTCTAATTTACACTGTACACCTCATCAAGCAGAAATCTGCAACTTCTATTAGATGATAGGCAAATAAATAGTCTTTTGAAATTTGAACTTTCCCTTAATAATGCTTTTTGCGACAAATCTCTACGAATGAAAAATGATGAAATTTATCAAACAATTATTGGATTGCTCTTTCTTGCTAAGACACTTATTTCCAAACGGACTGCACTCTGAATCGGGGCTTAAAAGCTATCAGCAAAACAATATCTCGATCTGTCACTCCCCCTCAGAGTTATCCTGCACTATAAAATCTCAACAATAATCTTATAGTACCCGTGATTCTAAATTAGGTTTTTGTTTTTGGCATTTATTAGCTTTGGTGAAGAGACTGATACTGGCTAAGCCTTTGTCAACATATAGTTGCTTCTCTACGAGCAGACTTGAGTAATAGCATTTGAAGGTTCATTGAATAATCTTATTCGAATTAATTGCACATCAGACTACTATCATTGTACATATCTTCTATAATATGACTTTTTTCTAATCTTTAAACATAGCTGCACTATTTGGCATTATTAGGTTTCCCATAGTATGTAAGCATTAGTTTGCCACTTCTATAATGATTCTTGAACGTCCACCTTCTCTTTTTAATTCATCAAAAGAATTTCACTTTTCCAAAATAGAAAATTTCAAATACATAAGGTCCAAAGGAAAAGCAGGATTAATTTTCTCTTCAGTATTTAAATTTTACCCTGTTGAAAGCCAGTCCATTAACGAATTTTCCCAAGTATAAACAGAGTAGTGCCTGAAAAAGGAATGTGAGAATGGCCAACTTAGAACCATTTTAATGGTAAAGAAAACTTCTGCCACCAAATTGTTGGCAGCTAGAACCTCCTAGTTGTTGACAAAACTTAGCAAAATTCACGGGCTCTATTGATCAGACTCGCTAGGAAGTCTGTAATAAAGATAAATAGAAGAGAATCCCATGGTAGAAAAGATACAATTTTTTCTATTTCTCCAATCTTAGGAATATATTAAAATAAAATCAATTGATCAAAACTCTAGGCTGAGCTTTTAGTGAAATGCCTACCACTAGAAACATGAAGCATAAGCTTCAGCGAGAACAGTCGGGCATCTACCAACTACAACCAAAACTGGAAACAACATACAAGAACAATAGCTCATCTATACTCATGTCACAAAACTTTATCAACTATCTTGTGCTGTTAGTTAAGCAATAAATTGAACAATTTTGAAACCCATTCTCCATAAGTATTCTGCGTTAACTTATAACGACGCTGTTCTGGAGATTTTCTCTTGGTTCAGTAAGGTCGAAATTTTCTTGCAGCCCTCAACTGCTGTATCCGCTTCTTATCCTGTTCAAATTTGCTCTGCAGCACCATGATCTCTGTGCATAATACAAATGTGAATAATGATAAGTCACAAGCAAAAGAAACAGATGCAAAATCACATTGAGATTTTAAACTCTTGCACCAGGGGAAATTGGCAACTAAACAAATGGAAGTACATTAGAGTAACATAGCAAGTTTCAAATTATAGCAGGTCCTTCAGATGAATGGATGGGTCAAGAAACATTCACTATTACTAGGACAATGTATCAGATCAGATTTACTTTGTATGACTTAGGTTCGATATAAAATCAAAGTTGAACAGAGAATCCCAACAGAGCCCTTGATGGGAAAAATGACAAACTGCAAATAGAACAACAGAAAGAATCCATTGGCAGTGAGACCAGAAAACACAAGCAACTTAACCAGTCCAATTTTTTGTGTGAATGAAAGATAATCCATAATTCCATGATAAAGGGAAACAACTAGTAGTTCCATGATAAAGAAGGTTCAAAATCTTGAACAAGCAAAATTATGATACTATTTGAGATGGTTTTCAAGAGGTCAAATTTAATGTTGTGGATTATTTCAGGCTCTCTCAGTATCTGTCACGAAAGACAGAAACTGCTAAACCAATTCTGCATCAATTTATCAAAACAATGCTGCTTTTCAATCATCCTAATAGTTTTTTTTTCTTTCGAGAATGTAATGAAGCAATGGATGGCTAGTACAACCCCAGCAATATTTCAAGCTTAGAAACCATAACCGTTTCATCAGAAAATGTAAAAACCTTTTCACCTCAAACTTAAATGTGATTGTTTGGATAAAATCAAACTTTTGATTTAAACTTTTACCTTTTATAAAATATTTTCTATAGGATAATCGAGGAAAACAAAGCCAATATTGAACAATCTGGAGCAAAAAGGTGTTGACAAAAGCAAAGATGCAGTAAACATACCATTTCTTTTTGCTTCTCTTTTCTGAAATCGGTAGAAATCTAATCCCACATCGTTCTTTTTCTTTTTGGCCATATTATCCATAACAGCAGTCTGAGAAACAGAACCAACTGCAATTCCAGTTTCAGAATCTGTTGTCTTCTTCCTGCCTTTGTGGTGTACAACAACGGTCCATCCACCTTCAGCAGCACGGGCTTCTTTTTCTTTCCTTTCCTGTATGTATCAGAATAAAAAAAATCACAATGGGAACAAGAACATAACTAGTCGTGGGCAAATCAGCATATACAACCACTAGAATATAAGAACATGATTAGTTGTGGGCACATGAAGAAACTTCTACGATATGCCATTATGAGGTGGTCACAAGAAACAAATTCATCAAGTACAGGCTGATGCAAGAAAAGGGCCAAAAGATAAGTGCAAAACTCTCTAAAGACTAAGTCCAGCATTTTCTTTTACATGAATAAAACTATAAATACCATAAAAACTTCTTCCACTATGGGTACGACAGCTCTGAGAAAACGAGCATTCTCCCTATCATTTGCAATAATCATTAACAGCAATAAAAGACATAATAATCTGGAAATATAAAGTACCTGTTCTTTTTTCGCCTCATGATCAGTTATAAACTCATCAATCCTTTCTTGCAACACCTTTATCCCTGGCCTACTCTGATAATAATCTGTAACCCACTCTGCACCCAGAAAAAGGAAATTGACTCTTTATAAGGCTATCAATCTAATTCATACTTTTTTCTAATATAAGGTCATTTCTCGCTGCAGTTCATCTCAAAAGAATCATTTTTTCATATAGCGAGATGCCGAGAAAAATAACTCCCAACTTAAATAAAACTAAGCATGTGTTCATAATTTTTCAAAAAAGAAAAAGAAAAACAACAGCAAGAGCTTCTAATTTGCCGTGAAAGATTTGAATGAGTTTCTCCATAACATGTTTGATGAGGCAAATCTCATGCCAAATCACAATGAACATAACAACAGAAGCAACAGGAATTACTTTTATATGATATAAAGAGAAAATCATACTTCTCACTCCTTTAGAGTAATCCTCGTCCCCTGAAGATAGCTCATAAATCTCTTCATCTTCAGCTTGTTCTGTCTTCTCTGACAAATCATCCTCCGCTATTGAAGATGGACGATCCTTCTCTACAATTTTGTGTGCCTCTTTTGACTTGCCTAGAGGGGATAGAGAGTATTGCAGAAGTTATAAATCGTCAACATCACAATTTTTGTTTGATGAATAACATCAAAACATTGCCAATAAATTGAAGTGTGTGATGGCTTTTGGTTATACTTATGAATTTAGAACCTCACATACTTGTACAATAAATAAGTTGCATATAACTGAAGCAAATGCAGTTCATTTCAATCGATATAAGTTATATTTCAGTATCTTCCAACATTTGGAGTGCTCTCTCCATCAAACTATATGGTTTAAAAGTGCTAAGTGTTTCTAATCCAATACTCAAACAAGCTTTTAAATATTCTAATAGACTCCTAGGAAAACTACCAAACTACTATACTTTCGTGGAAAAAAATGTATTATGGAAGAACAATCAGACTTCACTTCGTTCTCTTTTTTTTTAATCAGGTAAAGGACTTGCACTCCATTATGTCCAACATGTGAAACTTTTCAACTGTTTAGATGCGAACATATTTAGACACTAAGGCATGATAGGAAGTGATACACACTGCCTGCTTGAGAGAAAGTTTATTGACTTACACTAATTACTCAACATCGTTTAGCTCCTCGGTTGTTTTAAATTTAAGTGCATGATTAACAAATAAAGAAACAGAAATATGGCAACTCGAGAATCTATTTTCTCCATACCTTTTTGTCGTTTTGAGAAATCGTTACCCTCAGTTTTTCCAGCTTTCTTTTCGCTTTTTCTCTTCTTTCCCTTCCATTTTCTTTTCTCCGGCTTACCAGGTTCATTTGATATGGTATTTTCTTGACCAAGCCTATCCACTACGTCATTAGATTGATCCACTACACCACTTTCAGCAAGTGTGTCATTTTTCCTCTTCTTCTGCTTTGATGATTTGCTCTTTTTCGTTTTCCCATCTGCATTATCTAAATCATCTTCTAAAAACCTCAACAATCAACCAATAATCATACAGGCCAATCCCAGCAATTTATGCTCCGAAATAAATTATTAATCAAATTCTCCAAACCACTACCTTTATCATATGATAGATGGCATTCATCTATTTCATCCTTGCTTCTTCTGTTTTGCAGTGCCAGTTTCTTCTTCTTCCTTTTCTTTTCTTCTGTTACCTTAGCAAAATTTTCCTCTGCAACAAAAGGCCATAAATCAGCACTTTTGTCAAGCAAATACTATACATAGAAAAAAATTATGACTAAACAAGGAAATGAGTGAAGAAGTCCAAAAGATCCTATAAGAATAAACTTTCTTTCTAGTTTCAACTAATCTTTGGGCTCTTTACTACAACATCTTGGCTCATCGACTGATGATATTATAGAAAATGTTGAACCCTATATCTATAATTACTGTCCTTTTTAGAGGCATCGATGAAGAGTGCTGATACTAGTGCATAGAAGACATTTGCTTTATATATAAGTGAGTGGTATGCCCAAAAAAAATATATTGGGACTTTCATCCACCAGCAATATTCCTAAGAAGAAACGAGAAGCCACCTTCTAGAGGACATAGAGCCATATTGCAACTGAACCTCCCAAAGTTTCTTCATAAAACAGGACCTCAATATGGAAAACTGAATATAAGCAAACAAGATAAGCCTCGTGGCAATGCCCCGGGGCTTTGGTCTAGTGGTAGGAGCGCAAAATGATATGTAGGCGCATATCACCGGTTTGAACCTTGCCACAGAATTTAGTATGTAAGTGGAAAAGGGTAGAGGGGAGGGTCCAGTACCCACCAAGTATCAAAACCGTACGCCACTATTCAGTTATTAGAGAAAGATAAGCCTCGCTGCACCGGCTAACTCCCAGAGCATATCTGATATACAATCATATTGCAAACAAGAGAAGGCAAGAAATAATGTCTTGTTACGGGCATACGGCTAATGTATTGTCTGTTTATGGCTAATAATCAGCATTCCTGGAAATTTCCAGGGAACTAGAATTTCAAGTTTCCAGTTGCATGTGGAACCTCATACTACACTAATGAGTAGGAAAAGAAATGTTGCACAGCAGTACAGCTCAATCAAAATAGCATGAGGAAGCTCAATACTAATCCTGAAACTGAGTGTGACAGGTGGACGGGCTCATAAGTCAATAACTATTTTGAAATGCTAAGGAAATCCTTCCTAGGTCATTATGATTACCAATTTGTGGAGTATATTATGATGATTCTTCCATCTATTGTCACTTGAAGATTGAAGTGATGATGTATGCAACGAGCAGAAGTGACTGCTTGTCGATGCAAATAGTGGAAAAGGAGCATAACACCAATTATGGTATATAGTGCTGTCACGGAAAGTCTACCAAACTCAGTCTTCTCAACTCCTCGCTCAGATAATATATAGTAGCTAATTACAGCAGTTGACAATTTGCAGGTTCCTGGATGACAGGGATTTGAGATGGGGTGGTAGTTGCTAATTATTAGAGATAATGAGTTTATTAGTCAGTTTGAAATGTAAAACATGTATGCTGATAGAGTTTGCTATGAAAAATCAAAACCAATTAAATTATTCTTTCGACATAAACAAGAAGATGCAGATCAATTAAAGGCCAAACTTTTCAACCCATTAGGAACCCAAGCAGCAGTAGTAAAATTAAACAGCTACGAATGTAATACTACTTCTCAACAAACTTGAACAAGATTCTTTTTTCACAGATTAGGTTGAATATGTTTCAATTGTTCACTATTCTATTTATTAACACATAGGTAATTGCCCAATAGGATAGCAGTGCAGTGAGATTCAAGCTCAAAATGTGACTTTTTCGCTACTTGGGGTTTAAGTTGAAAGAAAGAGAAAGAGAGAAACTTTGAGGCAATAATACCATTTTGAACAAGGTTAGAATTTATAGTCAGGGATTCCCCATCTTTGTTCTTCTTTTTCTTTAGCTTCTTCTGCAAGTCCTTGGCTCCCATCTTCCTCTCCCAGACGCAAGGGCGGCTCTAGAGTATCCATGACTTTCTCTGATCTCAAATTTCCCACAACAGAACTATAAGATTTAGCAAATATGAACTTCACATACCTCATCACCGAGGATCCAACACAACCGCAACAAATAATAACATATTCATATTACCAAAGTCACCCCAATATTTATCAAACTTGAGTTTCATCTTAACAGCCATATCAACCAGAACTAGATCATCACCTTGAGAATTTTTGGTAATAAAGTTAAGAAGATTAAAAAGCTCATGGAAGAAAGAATTTGAAGTAACATACAAAGTTCCTGAAAATTTCAAAGTCATCTGGTAGAAAATGTCAAGAAACTTTGTAAAAACTTTTACCTTCTTCCAATCATCCGCACTTGGGTGCGATACTTTTCCAATCATATCTAGACAATATTTTTGGTACTTGTGATCATCAATATACAATCTTGAAAAGGCCTTTTCAAATTTTATAGATGTACTTAACATCATATAAGTTGAGTTCCATCTGGTTTCAACATCTAAACTCAAAAGGCCATGGCTATCAATCTTTACCTTTTCAACAATTGATTTAAAGGAAGCTAATCTTGCAGAAGAGGACTTGACATACTTCACAACATTTCTGACTCGAGAAATAGACTCAATATGATCACTTAACCCTTCTTTTACAATTAAATTCAAAATGTGAGCATTACATCTAACATGTAGAAAGTCATTTTCCATGACAATTCCTTTCCAATCCTCAATCCTCCCTTTCAAGTGTCTAATTGCTGCATCATTAGCAGTTGCATTATCTAGGGTCAAAGTGAATAGATTTTCAATTCCCCAATCCAACAAACAAACCTCAATACCCTTTGCAATTGTTTCGCCCTTATGATCTGGAACTTGAAAAAAGTTCAGAATTTTTTTTGCAAGTTCCAATTATCATCAATCCAGTGGACAGTTATAACCATGTAAGTTAGGTTTTGGAGAGACGTCCACGTATCACTAGTGAGGCATACATGCTGATTTTGAATCTGTTTTTTAAGCTTTTCTTTTTCCTCGTGATAAATTTTTAAACATTGCCTAGCAACAGTCAAACGAGAGGGTAACTCAAAATTAGGCAAAACAATTGACATTAATCTTTTAAAACCTTCCCCCTCGACGACTCTAAATGGTTGTTCATCAATGATCACGAATTCAGCAATAGCCCTTCTTACTTCATTGACATTATACACAACTCTTTCCAGTTTACATGTACCAACATTACCTCCTTGTCCGCTTCCTTTAATTGGGAAAGGCCTGAGTGTCGGTTGTGTTCTATCTATGAATCTAAAAGGGGATTTCTTACAAACAACATTCAAATGGTTCCATAATGTAGTAGTCCCATTTCTCTTAGTATCGGAAGCAAAAATTTTAGTACAGAAACTACATTTTGACTTATACTTACCATCTTTATCAATGAATTTGGTAAAGTATTTCCAAATGTCTGATGTTTCCCTCCCAACGCCAGAATCATTTTCAGAAGGTGCTGCTCTTTTACGCTTTTTAGGAGGAGTAGGGACACTTGTATGAACAACTGGAGTACTATTGCCTTCAAGATGAGGAATTTCCTGAACCTCGGCTTCCGGAGGTTGTATTTCCATCTGCTAAGAGAGACGAAACAAGCAAATAGTGGTCAAGAACAAAAAGAACTACAGAAGTGATTCAAAAATACTTAGCTAACGTTTGAACATAAATTAGTTGAAATTTGAAAAAAAAAAAAAAAGAATTTTCAAAATGACGTTGCTCTTCAGAATATGAAACTATGATATTAAATCCACTTATCTGTTTGATTATTTTGGTTGGATTTTGGTATCACTTTCTATTGTATGTTTGATTTTCTTTATTGGGTTTGGTTCATTTGTAGGTAAAAATGCAAACTTTACTATTGGAATTAACAGAAGTTCTAGCTAATTCCTAACTTTGAGATATTGGAATTCTTTTTACTAAAACTTTGAGAGTAAGTTTGAGGGCTCCTTGAACTAACCTGAGACGGCTCTTTCCTTTCGACAGAACTACTGTTGGACTCCATATAATTTGGAGCAACGAGAAGGAGCAACCTCTAGCGTCTACGGTCTACTCTTGTTCTTCCGTACAATATCAAGAATTTTAGAGAGAGAGAGAGAGAGAGGAGAGTTGGTCTTGAAGCTGCGCTGCGTATTTGTTATGAAGGGGTGAAAGAGAAGCAAATAAACCCTAAGAAATTAAAGACCTTTTTGTCTTAACAGGCCAAATTGACTTGGGCATATTGTAGTTAAAGTAATATTTCAAAGGTTAGGCCCAAGACTGTAAAATATTATGTACATTTTAAAAATAATATATATATATATATATATATATATAAAAATTTTAAAATAGGTATCTATATGATCGGTTTGGTTCGGTTATTTTTCAGTTTTTTTTGGTATAAAACCAAATCCAAACCAACTTTGTCGGTTTTTTAAAATTAGAAACCAAAACCAAGTTAAACCAAAAAAATGTCGGTTTTTTTTCTCGGTTTGGTTTGGTTTTCGGTTTGGTTCGGTTTTTCGGTTTTTCGTGAACACCCCTATATACAGAAAGGGTTTGGAGTTTTGTTTCTTTGATACCTTTATTGTTTTTGATCGGCCGGAGCAAAAGATAGTGGCTTACTTTATTTGTTGGGGCCGAGCTGGAGAGGGCCCTTGATCGCGTAGGCAATAGCGGGGAATATGTAGATAGGGGGACTCTCGCGGAGATTCGCGCCAGAGGCTTTGATCCCTCGGAAGAGATCGGATGCGAAAGGGAGCGGAGTTTGATGCCAAGTTCCTAATATCTGATGATGAGGAGGAGACCGATGGGCCGTGGCTGCCAAAAAAGGAAAATAAAGGGGGAACGAACATTCCCTGCCTTCTTTTCCGTGTATATATATACATAGATTCCACCATACGTCGCAGGCCGAGATTGTGCCTTGTAATTTGTAATTTCTGCATTTCGATTACCTTCAGGTTCAATCTCCGAGTCGTGTTACGGCTCGAGCTCTGATTGGCTTTCCAACTTTTTCCCGCCTGCATGGGAGGAGGGTGATGACCCCTTGTGTTTCTGGACTGAAGCGATTTTGTGGGCGCGCGGCCCGGAGATTTGCCTCGGTTGTTAATAGCGTTGTTTTTGGGTCGTGCCTTTAGGCGTTTTGTGAGCAAATTGCCCTCGGGTTTAGTCTCCGAGTCGGAATCCTGACTCGGGCTTATCTTACCTTCGAGCCCATTTTGGGCTGACGATAATGATTTTCATTTTCTGCCCTTGGGCGTTTTGCGATTTTTCGGGTCTAATCTCCGAGTCGCGTTGCAATTTGAGCTGTAATTGACCCCTCGATCTATCCGGAGGTTCCATTTGGAGAAAGCGGCATCGCTGTTTCGCTCTAGGGAGTATTATGACTTTTGGGCCTAGTCTCCGAGTCGTGTTGCGACTCGAGCTGTAATCGACCCTTAAATCTCATATGAGCTTTTGGCCAGCAATGGTGGCCTTTCTGCTACTTGGTCGTTGAGACCTTTTAGTATGAGGCCCGGAGGCTTGCTTAACCGGCGACAATGGCACTTACGTTGTTTGGTCATGGAAACCTTTCGATATGAGGCCTGAAGGCTCGCTTAGCTGGTGACAATGGCACTTACGCTGTTTGGCCGTAGAGACCTTTCGATATGAGGCCTGGATGCTTTGCTTAGTTTAACTATTTTGAATCCGGTCTCCGAATGGGGTTACGATTCGAGCTCATTTTAATCCTCAAGTTGTCAGTTTTTTCAAGCTGATGGTGGTAGAGACCTTTCGGTGTGAGGCCCAGAGGCTTTGCTTAGCCGGCGACAATGGCACTTACGTTGTTTGATGTGAGGCCCGGAGGCTTTTTGTAGGCTTTGTTTCCTCTCGTTAAGGTCTTATTGATTATTTTGCCTGACCCGTCGTCGGTTCTAAAAGAACCTCGATTTCAAGTCGTAGTCGGCGATGTTTTGAGCACCTCGGAAGGTTCATAGCCCATAGGTCGAGTAGATCGACGCTTTTGTGATTTTGGAGCCGGCGTGGTCGGGGCTCGTTTTTTGCCTGTTGAGGGAAGCCTGTGTTTAACTGGTTCTTTTCGAAGTAGATTCGGAGGATTTTTTAGCAACAGTCGGGCGTCCCCGAGTCGCGTTTTTTGGGCTGTAGCAGCCGTTTCGACCGGAGTCGTGTGCATTTGGCAAGGGCCATTTTTGATCCGGAGAAGCCGTTTTAGGCGTCTACACCGAGGGTATGCCCTTTAGGGATTCTTACAAATGCGATGTATAGCCTAAACTGCGGGATTTTTCATGCCTGTTGAGGTCTTACAGTTTATGGAGAATAGATCTGGTTTTGCCGAGGCTGCCCGTTAGGGTCTTACAATTTCGGATTTTCCAGTGCGTGGCGATTGGCGACAGTCTCCGAGTCATCGAGTTTGCTTGAAAATAGCTTTTCATGAGCTCGGAGCTGTTTCTGGGGGCTTGATGAGCCCTGAGTTGTTTTTCGGGGGCTTGGTGAGCCCGGCGTTTCGACCCTGGGGTCGTCCGGATGTCGTTTTCCTAAGTCCCCGAGTATCTCGGGACGTATTTTGTGGAGATGTCCCTATCGGGAGCGTGCTGTGCTTTGTTTCTTTTTGGAAAGCAAGGCGTTGGAGATATACTCTGATCTATTGATGCGATATATGTACTATCGAGCTGACTCGACCGGCTCTTAGGCCAAGTCGGGTTGTTTTGCTGATTTTCATGTTGCTTTGTTCTTGATTAGGAGCCTTTCTCTTTTCTCATAAAAGAAGGGGGTGTTTTCGATTGCCCGATATAATAATACATGTTTTCGCCTTAACGAGGTTTGGCTATTTTGACCGTTTTGTCCTGATACATCATTTCCCCGTAGGGATCTTTGTTCGGCGCTCCTCTGAGTCCGGTGGATTTCAGGAGGAATGCTCCTAGCTGCTTTGGAGGTTGGCCGTAAGGATGGCTTCGAGCGATTGTGTGGAGTTTTATCTCCTAGTGGCTTCGCGGGCATTGCCTCATTAAAAACCTTGCCGGTAAAAACCCTTCTTCTTTTTGGGATAAAAACTCGGTCTAAGGAAAAGAGTGCAACGGGCGCGCCTTTTTTGGGAGGTCTTGAGATCTTCAGACAGTGCCAGTGTCTCGATATCTTCGGTCGAGTCGGGCGCGCCTTTTTTTTTTTGGAGGCCTTGAGGCTTTCGGACAGTGCCTGCACGAGGGTTAATTTCTATAGTTAAAAACAAAATAAAAGAAACGACGGTACCTTGAGACGGGATACTTCTGGGTGCTGACTTGTTTCGATCGCCCGAGGTTGGGTATGTGATGCGGTTTATTTTTGCATTTTGTCAAACCTGACCGGTGTTGAGCCTTGATTCGCCTGTGGGCTTATTCGGAGGCGAAGGTAAGGGGACTGAGAATGCGTCGTGTATTGCGAACATTTCTCTCGCCGCGTGCTGCTCTCCATGGATGGTTTTGATCCCGTCCTTTGTCGGGAATTTTATCATTTGGTGGAGAGTGGACGGTACTGCTCTCATGCAATGTATCCATGGTCGTCCGAACAAGGCGTTGTACCTCATGTCTCCCTCGATGACATGGAACTTGGTGTGTTGGGTTATGCCGGCCACGGTGACGGGTATGATGATCTCCCCTTTCGTCGTTTCGCTCGCCATGTTGAACCCGTAAGGACTCGAGTGGCGGGTACGATCCGTTCAGTTAAACCGAGCTGTTCTATCACCCTTGACCTGATAATATTGGCCGAGCTACCTGGATCCACGAGTACACGTTTTATCTGGAAAGAATTTACAAGAAAGAAATTACCAGAGCGTCGTTGTGGGGTTGAGATAAGGCATCCGTATCTTCTTCACTGAAGGTGAGGGCGTCCTCGGGGATGTATCCTCGAGTCCGTTTCTCCCTTGTGATGGATATTTTTGTTTTCCTTACCATGGGTTCTTGCGGGGTATCGGCGCCGCCCATGATCATGTGAATGACGTGTTGTGGTTCATTTACTTCATTCTTCTTGGCTGCCTCCCTGTCTCGAAACTGATTTCTGGCCCGATCGCCAAGGAATTCTCGGAGGTGCCCTTTGTTGAGCAGCCGAGCTACTTCTTCTCGTAGTTGATGGCAGTCCTAGGTCCGGTGGCCATGTGTATTGTGGAACTCGCACGTCAAGTTGTAATTTCTCTGCGAAGGATCCGACTGCACTGGTCTAGGCCATTTCGGTAAGCTTGGTGCAGGCAGCAGTGCATATGTGATGGGTAATGCTGATAAACAGCAGAACTGGCATGTCTATTCTGCTTCAGCTGAATCTGCCAATGCCAATAACCCGAATCCAGTTTATACACTGGAGATGTGCATGACTAATCTCGACAAGAAGAAGGCATCCGTATTTTTCAAGACTCAATCAAGCACTGCTGCTGAGATGACTGAAGTTTCAGGCATTCGGAAAATTCTTCCAGAATCAAACATTTGCGACTTTGACTTTGACCCTTGCGGTTACTCAATGAACGCTATCGAGGGGCCAGCAATCTCTACAATTCACGTCACACCTGAGGATGGATTCAGCTATGCAAGTTTTGAAGCAGTGGGTTATGATTTCAAAGCCGTAAACTTGACTGCCATGATCGAGAGGGTGTTGTCCTGCTTCGGACCTGCTGAGTTTTCTGTATCACTACACTGTGACACTCCTGGGAAGGAACTTTATACTGAGTCCGGCCTGGGCATTATCGGATACGCCTCTGGAGAAAAGACTACTGAAGTGCTTGGTGAGGGAGGATCACTTNAATTAAATAGCATGAGAAGCTCAATACTAATCCTGAAACTGAGTGTGACAGGTGGACGGGCTCATAAGTCAATACTATTTTGAAATGCTAAGGAAATCCTTCCTAGGTCATTATGATTACCAATTTGTGGAGTATATTATGATGATTCTTCCATCTATTGTCACTTGAAGATTGAAGTGATGATGTATGCAACGAGCAGAAGTGACTGCTTGTCGATGCAAATAGTGGAAAAGGAGCATAACACCAATTATGGTATATAGTGCTGTCACGGAAAGTCTACCAAACTCAGTCTTCTCAACTCCTCGCTCAGATAATATATAGTAGCTAATTACAGCAGTTGACAATTTGCAGGTTCCTGGATGACAGGGATTTGAGATGGGGTGGTAGTTGCTAATTATTAGAGATAATGAGTTTATTAGTCAGTTTGAAATGTAAAACATGTATGCTGATAGAGTTTGCTATGAAAAATCAAAACCAATTAAATTATTCTTTCGACATAAACAAGAAGATGCAGATCAATTAAAGGCCAAACTTTTCAACCCATTAGGAACCCAAGCAGCAGTAGTAAAACAAAATCAGAGGAAGCTCGAAACCCTGAAAAAATTAAACAGCTACGAATGTAATACTACTTCTCAACAAACTTGAACAAGATTCTTTTTTCACAGATTAGGTTGAATATGTTTCAATTGTTCACTATTCTATTTATTAACACATAGGTAATTGCCCAATAGGATAGCAGTGCAATGAGATTCAAGCTCAAAATGTGACTTTTTCGCTACTTGGGGTTTATTAGTTGGAAGAAAGAGAAAGAGAGAAACTTTGAGGCAATAATACCATTTTGAACAAGGTTAGAATTTATAGTCAGGGATTCGCCATCTTTGTTCTTCTTTTTCTTTAGCTTCTTCTGCAAGTCCTTGGCTCCCATCTTCCTCTCCCAGACGCAAGGGCGGCTCTAGGGTAAGGCAAGTGAAATTCTTGTCTTAGACCCCAAATATTCAAAGGCCCCAAAAACATAAAGTATTACTATATATATATATATATATATATATATATATATATATATATATATTGATAAAATATTTTAAATTCTAATATTTATTTAAATTTGGTAGATGTAGGATTGAATGAGTTAGTAGGATTGAACTTTTCTCTTACTAAATTAAATAAATTTTCTCATCAATTCTATTTTTTTTCTTTTTTTTTTATATTTTTTACTATTTTACTTTCTAATTTCAAATCAAATTCTCTAAATTAGCTATTCCTTTTTGTCACATTTCATAGATTCTGATATATGTAATCAAGCTTTTTTGTGTCTCATTTTTTTAACTACGAAATCTCAGAGACAAGTATCGTAAGGTTTAAAACATGATCGATAATAGGCTCAATCCTTTTACCATTTTCATTTAATGCTATATTTTTTTTATAGGGAGTTCAATTACCATATGACTTACGCCTAACCCACATATTATACATTGTTCTCTCACCACTTTTTTTGTCTCCATATTATATGGATATTATGAAACAAATTCAGGATCTTTTAATATATTTTAGTTTTAAGCCACCAGTTCCGTTGAGCCGCCCTCATTAATGATCAACAATTATTTATAGACCACTGCCTATGAACGTGTTATTCAACAGCTTCATTCACATTTCGTTAGCAATCCAGTTCAAAGCCAGTAGCACGATAGGACGACTTCTCAGTCCATTCCATCCTTTCAGTCAAGCCAGATGCGAATGAAATAGCTGCTCCCATTCCGACAAGATCAGGTAACTAAATAACACATTCATTGATTGTTGTCTTATCTTAATTGAGACTCCATAAAATTTGATTGAGAATAGCATGGGTATGGACATGTGGCTCGATTAGGAGACTAGTAAAGCTTTAATTTAGGTCACCGAAATTTTTTAATAATAGATTTTATGATTTTATTTCAAGTTAGACAATATTAAAGTTTGCAAAAAAAAAAAAAATACAATAAACCTTGGACAAAAGAAAGAAAGACTATCTACTCTTTAAAACTAAAAAAAAAATTTAGAACTTTGAATTAAATTACTTAGATCTTCATATTAATAAATATATTTTTTACAACAAAATCAAAGGTAACGTATTGAAAATACATCTCTTACATCCAATTTATTTAAGTTACTTCTTACTAATATAAATAATAATACTACTATGTGAAGTTAAAGGTTTCATCATTTAAGCATGTTATGCTATAAATAACAAGTATGAAAAAATGACAACACTATCTTCTTCTTTTTTGTATATGTGTGTGTATATATACTAATAAAAAAGTATATGATCTCTTATTAAATTTCGCTTTAGGCCACAAATTGTATGGAGCCGCCATTGCCCAGACGTCTGTTAATGATTACCACTAAAATAAGGAAAAGTATTCTTAAAAGATAAAAATGGCAGAAACTTTGCCATAGGAAAAAAAGTTCAACATTAACTTGTGCGCCAATATTGGTCAGAAACTTTACTAGAACTGTAGAAGAAAAAGAAGACTTGATCACCACTCAACGAGAAGATGTGAGAGAGCGGCGAGGCAGTGGACAGAGGAATCACCGACTTCTTACGGCCGCCAAGGCGCGGCGAGGTCTATGAAAGTATAAAGTTCGAGACTCGTTGGAGACCGGAGAATGAAGAGATGATACACAGGGTACATGGAAATAAAATGTGAAAATATAAAAAGTACTCCCTTAAGTTTTAATTACAAAACTTTAACCCTCTATTCTTCGAATATATGCTCCATTACCCCTTTTTGTTCTTTCTGTTATGTCCCGTGTCTCTTCAGAGATTTGAGTTTGTCCTCTTTGATTTAACTGATGTAGTAGATAAATAAGTATTGTTTTAAATAGTAAATTTAATTTTATAAATAGATAATTACGTATTTGAATAGAAATATTAAAAGATTGATAATTACAGGAACGAGGACGAAATGCACTCTTCTATCACTATTTTGAAAAAAAAGAAAAATAGGAGAATAATTTTTTTAAAAAAAAAATCTATCATAAGCTTTAGGTTTATAATACACCCAAAGCTAATGTTTCAAAGCAAAGTACCATCATAAAAAAAGAGGAAAGCCGAATGTCATAGCTATATTAGCATGTCATAACGAATTTCTATTACATATTTGTTTACCGTGAAAATGGTAACAACAATTAAATTTGTAAATGGGATTCTAAAAATACGTGATCTATTCCCGAGCTAATTTGTAAGGCTGATTAGTGCTAAAACGTGGAGTAAAAAGGTAAAGATCGAGTTAGCCAAAGCGCTAATCGAACCAGTAAGGGGACGTTCCCGGGCGTAGAGCAAGCTAGCAGATACCTCGGGGCCAAGCCTCGAACCTACCTCGGGCCTATCGAGGGTAGTCGTGAAGGGGATAACAGGTAAGGATATAGATAAGCAAAGCTTTATACCGTCAATCTTAAAGTAAATAATAAAGAACAAACGAAGAACAATAAAATGCTAGGGATGATCTCGAGATATATTTATTTGACAAACCAAGAGAATAGCTATCAACAGGTATGACTTAGAATCAGAGAGAGAGATTTAGAGAAAGAGAGAGAATGTTATTGCTTTCGTTGTAAGATAATTGGAGATGAGCTACAATGTGTTGGTGACCCTTCTTTTATAGAAAAAAGGGGGCGTCCAAACTTAATATGGAATAAACAATACAATAAAAGAATGAGATGTGACAGCCTGCTTTTCTTGGGTTGTAGGAGAACTGGCGTCGAGCTGTTTGGAGAAGTCTCGTGGACCCCAGATACATCCCTCGGGGGATATCTTCGCCCATCAGGGTCTTAGCCGATGCTCGATCTAGGCAAGGCATCGGCTAGATCTCGAGGGAGGCGACCAAACCGAGATCCCGTGCCTTCAGGATTTGTTCTTTGAAGCATTATGTCGAGGGAAAATTGGTCTCCCGATTTCTCCGCACACAGATATTCTCCGCGTTTCTTAGAAGGAAGTGTTAAGAAATGTTTTTGACGCTCCTCCTCGTGGTCCTCGACATGCCATTATGCCGATGGCTCAGCCTTTCTCCACAGAAGTCGAGGCGTTTTTCCTTCCCGCTTCTTTAGAACTTTTTAGAAATATTATGATTCCTCGCTCTTCGGGACCGTATTGTCGTTGTCATTCCGTGCCGCCATTTTGTCGCTATCGTTTCATCTGCCACGAACGCATTAATTTCGCATGTCGTTACGCTTTTCGAGGGCGATAATGGCGCCGTCGGTTACTTTATTTTCCCTCTATATATATGGGGCTCCTTTGCGATCAGTTCTTCATTCAGAAAGCTTCCTTCGATACATACTTTTCTTGCCTTCCCTGCCACTTTTCCGGCCTTTGTTGCTCTGCAATGTTTGAGGCCTATGGCCTTAAGATCATTCGTTGGTCATGCCATGGGCCAGCCCTCGATTTTTCTCTAGCGGAACGGGCTTGTCCTACTGTGATGGTGTTGTTGTTGCTGGCTTGGTATAGCGACGTAGGAGGTCGGTGTCCTCTGATCTGGAGAAAGATTCGGATTATCCACCGCTGCTCAAGAGGGGGCTCAGATTATACAACGCTGCTCACCCTCCTTCCTCGGCCCAGCGTATTACACCCCCATTGGATTCCTGGGAATGTGGTGATGGGCTCAACTCGGCCGTTGCCTTCCGAGCCGAGGTGACATCTCGAGAAGTGGCTTCGGGGGAAGTATGCTGGCGGAGTCCGTGCTAGCCGAATTTTTCGCCCAGCCACTTCTCGCCTTCTCCTGGTATCCCCTCGTCATTTTGCTCTTCTCCTGGCTTCCTTTTGAAGATGCCATTTTGGGAAGATAGGGATGAGATCCCTGTGGGGTCCGGACTTTGGAAGATTTTGTCTTTGAGGTCGTATGACTGGAAGGATGACTTCGGAGGCGTTATACGTAGGATGATCCCCTTGGACTTTGTATGCTACCTGTATTTTATCCCATTTTTCTTCTTTTTCTTGTAAAAGAAGCTCTTGTAATCATGTGAAATGCAATTGTATATAAGGAGTTATATGAGTATAAATATGTTTTTTCCCGGCTTCTACTTTCAATCCTTGCCTTTTTCTGATACATCC